ATGAATGGAATGTAATGTCTTTTGGTCTGAAGAATGCCCCTAGTGAATTCCAGAATATTATGAATGAAATTTTTAATCCTTACAGTCATTTCTCAATTGTCTATATTGATGATGTTCTCATCTTCTCTGAGTCAATAGAGCAGCATTGGAAACATTTGCATAAGTTTCTTCAAATTGTCAAACAAAATGGTTTAGTTGTCTCTGCCAAGAAAATCAAGTTATTCCAAACAAATATCAGATTTCTTGGTTTCAATATCTGCCAGTCACAAATCTCCCCAATTGATCGAGTCATTCAGTTTGCTGATAAATTCCCTAATCAAATTCTTGATAAAAGTCAGCTCCAGAGGTTTTTAGGATCTCTAAATTATGTTTATGATTTTTACAAAAATCTGAGAAAACAATGTAAGCATTTATTTGATAGGTTGCGAAGCAATCCGCCTCCATGGTCAAACACTCATACTGACAAACAGATCATAGCCCATGTCAAGACACTTCCTTGTCTTGGTATTCCTTCAGTTGATTCCTTTAAGATAGTTGAAACCGATGCCTCTAACACAGGTTATGGTGGCATTCTCAAACAAAGAGTCTGTCCAGATTCTCCAGAATAAATTGTCCGTTTCCATTCTGGTGTTTGGACCCAATCACAATATAACTATAGTACTATTAAGAAAGAAATATTAGCTATTGTATTATGCATAAGTAAATTCCAAGATGATTTGCTGAATCAAAAGTTTTTAATACGAGTTGATTGTAAATCTGCAAAACATGTTTTAGAAAAAGATGTTCAAAACATTGCATCTAAATAGATTTTTGCACGATGGCAAAGCATTTTAAGTATATTTGATTTTGATATTGAGTATTTGAGAGGAAGTGAGAATTCAATTCCTGATTTCCTTACTAGAGAATTCTTGCAGGATGCACAATGGCACCCAAAAAAGACAAGCAAAAAGAGTCAACCAGCCAATCTAAGCCATCTCAGTCGCCTTCCCAATCGCTCCAAATCCTCCCTTCATCCATGAGTCAAAATAAGCCAGAAAACCCCAAGCAGGTGGTCCCTTACCCAGGTCACCCACCAATCTCAGTTGCCACACCAATCTCAGTTGCCAATAGGTTCTCTGCTTTAGGTTCTACAGTTGGCCAAATACGCCCCAGTTATCAGTCGACCTTAATCTCTAGTTATGATCCTTTTTCAGCTGATCCTTCAGCTAGTCCCTCAGTTGCCTTCAAAAAGTCATCTCCTTATACGCCCAAAAGTACCTCTCATTTATTTGTTCTTGAGCCGATTTATGATATTCATTCCAATCCAGTCGAAATAGCCAAACACTATTTTCCTCCTGGATTCCATTATATGCCTTCTAGTCCATACAAGTCTCTCAAGTACTATAGGGATATATTACTTGAAACTCAGTCAATTGAAATCAAGCCGATAAGGGATCGAGATCACCCTAAGATCATCCTTTATCATTCCCTTTATATCCATAAGATCATAAGCCAAGAATCCTTCAGTAGTCACCCCTATGAGTTGAAAACCCTTCAGTCAAAATTGCAATATAATTATTCTGATTATATTGAAGCCTGGTACTCTATTTTCCTCCATCAAACCGAGGATTTTAGTCACTCCTGGTTTATGAATTTTGACAATAAATTCAAGTCTCCTCTTCCCTTCTGGTTTCTCCACTGGTGGGAAAAGCATGGTTCAGTTGATGAGATTCTGCCCATTGCAGTTCATGAGCTAATTCGCCATTATACTAAAAAAGCCAAGTTCTCCAAAATTGATTTATTTTTCCCAAAACAGTTGCTTTTTATTGCCATATATAAAGTTCCTTGGATCCTCAAATGGTCCTACAAAGTTGCCAGAGATATTACCAGAGTTCTTGGCCGCCAATTCTCAGTTAAATGGTGGGACAAATTTGAAGTTGACCGAATTGCTAAATATGTGTACAATGATCTGCCTCATGAGCCTATTCCGCATCCAGTTTCCCCTACTGGTTCGACCCGATCTTCTCTCTCAGTCGAAGGAAAATCGAAGTCCGAACTCCAAGAAATTGCCCGCCAGTTGATCATCCAAGCTTCCCAGATGGATGATGATGAAGACAATGATTCCCCTTCATCGTCCAGCTGTCAGCCCATGCAAAGCCCTGCCAAGAAAAAGTCTTGGTATGAAGATAATCAAGATCCATACGATGCTTATGATTTGAATTCTGACTAAGCATCACAAGTTGCAGACACAATAATTGCCTCTGGTTGCCGACACAATAGTTGCCCCGGAATAATGATTAAAGCATCTTCAAAAGCAGAAAGTTGCCTGACATTTCACCTTGAGTAAAAGAAGAAAGTTGCCCAGTAAAAGTCAAAAGCTTTTAAAGTTAGACATAATTGAAAGTTGAATCAGGTTGCTCTCATGCTCCAACAGTTGCCTCTCCACTATCAGAATTGCTTTCGGTTACCCTAGTTACTTTTCAGAATAACTCTAGTTGCTTTTGTAAACCATAGTTGCTTTCCTTGTATTATTTAAGCCGGCCTTGGCCTCAGTTGCAAGCAGATTACAATTTACATTTCAGTTTTTTAAAGATTCTCTCTGAACACTTTGGAGAAATCATCTTTGTAAACACTGAGTGTTTTGTATCTGGAGTTTGAAGTTGCTATCTTGGAGTTGCTTCTGTGAGTATAAATAAAATTGATATTTTCAAATTATCTCTATTTTGAGTAATTTCATATAAGCATTATTTCGATTGCATACATTCCTAATTGCATATATATCCTTACGCCTTTCTTTTCTTGTTTCTGCTCTCTTTGTGGTATCAGAGCCGTAAGAGTTACGGTCTTTGTCTAAGTCTGCTACTTATCCCCGCCCAAGTGGCTGGTTTAAGCTTATGAGTAGAAGTTTTCAGTTTCTTATTCTTCTTCCCTTTTACTCTCTGAGTTATTTGTTAATCTCTTTCTAAGGTCTGACCCGTGAAGTCCTTTTTCCAAACAGTAAGTCCCCAGTGTAGAGGGCCTGTTAGGTGGGCAGGAGACAGAAAATTGAATGAGGTTAATAAGTTTCTTGTTGAGTAAACGGCCAGTTTAGGAAGCCCCTGTTTATCTTCTTCTTCAGACATATCCCAATCTATATGACCTTGCTCATTACTCAAGGTTGTGCGTATCTTATGGGCAAATAGATTCGGCAGGCCATTAACAAATTTTTCTTTCCAAAAAGGTTGATTGCTATCATCTCTAAGCATGCAGAACTACAGTAGAATGAAGGCTAAAATCTTGAAGAATATAGGGTTAGAGAGCAAGAGAGAAACAGAGAAGTGAAGGACTCTGTAGTTTCATTCAATATGACAATGATATCATCTCTTCCAACAGAAGCTAGAATGCCTTTACATACATTGCCATATGGCAACAAAGAAAAATTAACTTAACTAAACTCGACACCTGTCCTAGCTAATTAGTCCACATCGGCATCAGTGTGGTGTAATACTAGCAACTAAATTAAACAAATGCTGAGAAAGCCCAACTAAAATTTCTCAAAGAAAATGTATCATCTCTGCCCACAACTGATAATATACAATCTGCTCTATCGAATTTCATCAGTATATCTTTAAAAAAATTGAATTTTTATATTAAAATGGAAAACCCACAATTAGCCTAACTAATTTTCATCAATAGATTGAAACGAGACAGAGAAGAGATAGCAACTCACAAACTAAAAAAATGGGAAAATTCTCACAGAAAAAGGTGATGCGCTTCAAGTCCAAAGCAAGAGCAGCATTAAGTCCTTCAATCAAGGCTTTCAACAGAGCACCATTCTTGCTCATCCCATTCCCAATCAGGGGTTTCCAAACCTCGAACACCAAATTATCCCTGGAGTCGCATCTCTCATTTCCAACCATTTCCTCGCTCACCAAACCCTTGAAAGTAGAGCCTGAACACTTCACTCTCGACCCTCTTCGTCGACGACGATGAGGAGGAGCCTTCACCGAAGGGTGTGGCGAAGAGTTCGCCAGACTCTTGCCACTCGTCCTATGGAATCTTCATGATCTCCCTCGCGACCTGATCATCGTGAATCCGACGGTTGAGATCCTCTCTGGCTTTTCGCATTTCGATTTCGCGGTCCTTCAATTCCTGCTCCATTCTCATGAGTTATTCGGACTTGAGGGCGACGTGGGTTGGGGTGTTGAGGATGGTCCGAACGGTATCATTTGTCGGGGGGTTGGGTAGAGGAGGAAGATGGTTGAGAATTCCATCGCAGATCGGTCTCTTGATCTTGGCAACGTGGTCGTCGTTGCTGCGGGGAGAGAGAGAGATCTGATCTGATTAAAAAAGAAAAGGTAAACCAACGAATATGAGTCAGGTTTTTTTCAATAAAAAGGGTATAATTGTCTTTTTATTGATTAATATAGGGTGAGCCAAATCTTGGCCTCCTCTTTGTCCAAATTCAAAACAAAATTCAATTCCTATGTATTAAAACCAAAACAAAAATACTTTTTGTCTCAAATACTAATCAATAACAATACCTAATTTTTCTATAATAATAATAATAATAATAATAATAATAATAAGATACCGTGTTTTGTACTTTTGTATGAAAACACCAGTCAAAACAACTCACATGGTGTAAAAGAAGCTAATTAGCTTGTGGTTGAGGAAAGAAAGGCCATTTGGAAAGTTTGGGATTTTTGGGTGACAAGGATTTGGAGATTGCACGTGAGTTGAGATGATGATTTGTTTGGGTAATAAGAGAGCGTTAGTCGGGACTCGGTTTGGGAAAGAAAAAAACATAAAACCTACCCTAGCTGACGTGGATAGCTCTAATCCATTGGATTCATCTGTACTAGGGTTTATGTTGCGATGTAATTAGTAATTAGTTGATTTCTTACCTTAGAATGATTTCCTAGTGATTCTAGAATTGTTATAATTAATTAATTCCCTGATTGATGAGAGGCTATATATGATCACCCATGTATATAAAGCCATAAGAAACTTAGGTTAACAATCCCTACAAGATATCGATTATGGCTACCAGAAAAATCCCGAATCACCCAAACACAAAGCAGAATAATCTGAAGGGAAAGCAAAACTCCATGGCCACCGCCACAATACCTCACTTACCTGTCCTTGTAATCCACCACGTCCTCCACTTCCTTCCCACAAAACATGCCATCCGCATGAGCTCTCTTTGCAAGCAATGGGCAGGGCTATGGTCTTCAGTCCCAGTACTAGATTTGGAAGAGGAGGACGAGCCACATGAAAAGTTCATCAATTTTGTGGACAGGTGTTTGGAAATTCTTGAGAAATACGAGCAATTAGACAAATTCCGGCTTCGCATGACGTTGATTTCAGACGAAGACGAAGAGAAAGTTCTAGAGTGCTTGCGTTTTGCAGTTGAAAGAAGAGTCAAAGAGTTAGATATCGGCCTCAGCTTTATACAACAGTTCCTTGTCGTTGGGTTTCTCTCGCCCCTTCTTAATGCAAAGTCTATAACTAGTTTGAATTTGGAGAATGTGATCATCGACGCGGACTGGGATGAACCTATAATAAGCCTGCCCTCATTGAAAACTCTGTCCCTAAAAACAGTGAGATTCAAACCCGCGTCTTTTATCTCCTCATTGATTTCATGCTGCCCTTGCATTCAGCATTTGTCCGTAACTTCATCTTCTTCCTCCGACTATGATATAACTTCCACCGACTATTGTACAATATTCATGCAGACCCTTCTTGATGCAAAGTCTTTAACTTCCTTGAATCTAGAGTTCGTCGTAATAGCGAATGACCTTGAGAAGGGTCCTCCTATAGGCCGCCTTCCCTGTTTGAAAACCATGTCCCTCACAAATGTGAACATGTATTATGACGGGACTCTCGCCCAATTAATTTCAAGTAGCCCTTCCCTTGAGCATTTGTCAGTATCTATAAGTTCCCCTCGTTATTATAATTATAGTCTACCTTCCTCCAGTCTCAAATCCTTTGAAGTTAGAATTTTCGATTCAAAAGGAGTTTTCAATTCAGACGTGGTTCGAGTCATTGGAGCTAAGAGTCTTGAATCTTGTACCTTGGTTTTAGAATCTCCAAAGCAGATTAAGCGTATACTGTTCGATCGTTGCGAAAACTTGAAACATTTGAGCATTCGTGCTCCGCAACTGCCAAACTTTACACTACAACTGCATGGTTGCAAAAATCTTGTGAATGCCTCACTTGATATTCCAAAGTTGTATTTTACTAGAATCAGCTCCAATGTTGAATGGAGACATTTTTATTCACTGGCAAATTATCTTGGAAAATTTCAAAGTTTCGAGAATATATCACTATATGTTGATGATGCTGAGGTGAGTCTACAATATCCATTGCATGCTTATATCCTTTGATAGATTTTGATTTTGTAATTTTTTGTATTCTATTCCAACTTGTGCTGCAATTAATTCTTCCACACTGATCATGATTTCCCTTTTGAATCTTGTTTGTGCATGCTGTAGGCTCTTATCTTCCCAAAAAATATGAGAAAGTTCTACGATCCACCATTACGTACTGTCAACACTCTTACAGTATTCATCAGTTCTCCAAGAGGTGCACAAGATTCTAAGTTGAGGCACTCTTTGTTTTGGTTGGGACCTGAGTCTCTATCAATAATATACTCTGACCTTTAGTCTCATTGTTTTTCTATGATGCATGGGCTTTTTCGGGCATCCGAGAATGTTTAGTAGCCTGAAATCCAATTTTAAAGTTTTTACTGTTTTTGGAAATTATGTTATTTTCCTATTTTAATTCCTTTGTTATTACTAAGGTTTCTAAAAGTATTTAAGTATACTTTACTTGTGGTTAGGGTTATGCTTTGTTATTCCAATTTTATCAATAAATCTTGAGGTTTCCTCATATCTTCCTGGTGAATTCCAAAGTTACATTTTTTTAAGAAAAACTGGGTGCTCTAAAGTACTTGTATGATGGCGCCAAGGCTCACATGAGAGGTACAATAAGTTCCAAGCCACTGGCGATGCAAAAGTAGTTTAGATTTGATTGTAAGTGAGTTCCTCTTTATATGAGAGTTTACAATTGTCGTTAAAATAATATGCAGATTGCTTTAAACACTAGTAGTAGAGCTGTTGAATCAGCAACTTTCTTAACTTGACAAAATCATACAGATCTATTGGTCATATTGCCCAACCGACAAATTATCAGTTGGGGACAAAGAAATTGCTCCAGTGGCATATGAAAATTGAGAAATCATTTAAAGAACAAGAGAAAGTGCCAACCCAATTTTAGGAATCTTGTCAAGTGCCTTGGTGTTGAATTCACCAGAGATAGCCAGGCATGACTTGGGTCTAACATTGTACTGTAGAACAGTCTTAAACTCTCCGTGATCGTCAAGTCTAGCTTTCACTACTGTTTGATGATCAACAGCATATGATCCTCCAACTGTCAAGGTGTTTCTCTTTGTTGACAGCTTTTGAGTGAACTCTACCACTGCTGCATGCTTCTTTTGTTTATTGAGATAAAGAACACATGATGCTGTTAGCAAGTCACCTTTGTTTGCCCTAAAAAATTTCACAACGATAGGATATTAGTGTCATACTTTTCCTTTAGCACGGTGACATAATGACTGTAATTCAAATCTGCACTTTGGCCTCCGCAAAACTTGTTATATTTGTTAAAAAATTTAGTTAACTGAGCTTAACTATCATTATAGTTGTAGAGGTTCTCCCATGAAATGCTGCAGTTGTAACTTAATAAGTATCGGAACTGTAATTTGAACTTATTATTGAATTTCTTTTTTATTAATGTCATGTTACTTCAAAATGAAAAGACCTACAGAATTATTGAAGCATCAGAATTGAGACTCTTCATATAAATGCCTGCACTGCACTTGGAGAAATGAAGCAGTTTTGTACTCTGTCTCCATACCAAGGGCAATGCTTGAACTCCCTACAGCTGCTGAAAATGTTATTGCAGGGGACTTGTTCAAAGCCACAGATGTGGACAGAGCAGCATATTCTTGGCGTATTCGAACCCGGAGCTGAAATCAAGATGGGTGAGTTGTTTTTTAGTTCAGAATAGTAATTATTGTTGTGCGGGATAAGATAGGGTTGCTAGTCTGTGTCTCTTCAAAAAACAATCTGTTCAAAGGTTTAGTGGCAAGTAGAAATATGTGTCCCGAGGAAATGAGCGATTTCTGTCACAGAAATTTTCTTTTTCCTGTCACAGATTTCCTAACTAGAGCACCAATTCTTCTTGTATTTCAAACCAAAAATGTCTCAAATAAAGGTTGGCAGAAGCTAGAAAGCTATTGTCCTCACAGTAGAAATTCTGAATTAGCAGTGACAATTTTCAATTTGTTTGAACTTTCTCACTAGTGATCAGCTGAGCCAGTACAAAAAGGTAATCATCTGAGCCATGATAAATTTTTAAGAGCTGTTTTCAGGTCAGAAGTAATCACAACATGATTGAATATATGTTCTTTTTCTTTCCAATATGCAATAATGAGACCAAGTACCTTGCTTGATTGGTAATCAGGCAAGCTGAATGAAGCGCTAGTATTCGTGCTTGACAGAAACTTCGCATTTAAAATGAGGGTTCCAGTAATCTGTCATAACAAGGGTAAATACAAAATGCTAATTACAAATGAAGATCACACAAATTGAAACTTCTAAGGTAACAGTAAGTTGTATATAGCCACACCCACTATTGAATCCGTATCGATTCGACAGTCAAAATTTGCATTCTTGTATGTGTATGCTCCTGCCACGGCTGCAGTTGAGCAACCTCCCTTCTTTGCCGCGGTTGAAGTAATTTTCTGAAAACAATCCAGAACGTACTCAGTTTCTGTTTAACTGCTTGAAGGGAGTGACATGATAAGAACATACCACTCCACCATCACTGTGGGTTGTGAAGCTAAATTCTGGCTCCTGGAATATCCACTGGTAAGCAAGCCTACCAAAAGAGGTAAGTTTGCGACAAAACTCTAATTAATAGGCTTCTTGCAATGCAAGAAAAGAAAAATAGGACCATCTGTCTATTCAAAGTAAAGAAAACAAGAGAAAAAGAAACAGATTTTTCGGTGGGATATACACAGAAGATCCACAAATCTCAAAGAGGAAAGAGATCATACCCATTATTTTTCAGTAAGATTTTAACAGATTAACATACATGAAAGACTTAGAAAAGTAGAGAAGAATTAAAGCGAGAACCTTTAGCTTTCTGACCAAACTCAGAGAAACATGGAGGTCCCTTGCTTGTGGGTTTGCTCTTGTTTTTGTGGTTAGACTTGCTCATTGTTCTTGGCGGAGACACCAATTGACCTTAGGAGACGACCAGATCAAAAATAGAATTTTGATGATTTTGTAGAGAGTTTCATGAGGGTGTTTTAGAGAGTGCAGAAGGAGGGAGAGATAAGGTTTTCAGAGACGGGGGAAAATTTGAAAATTTGACAAGCGCAAATTCACTTAAGTAGACATTTTTTAGCGTGTTTTAAAAGACGACGCTTGTTAATGAGAGATAAGATTTTCAAAGACGGGTGAAAATTTGAAAATTTATCGAGCGCGAATTCACTTAAGCGGCCATTTTTTAGCGTGTTTTAAAAGACGACGCTTTTTTTAAAAAAAAATTGGTCATCTTTACATATAATATATGACGGTTTTTTTATAAAAAGCGTCATCTTTACATATAATAGACGACGGTTTTTATAAAAAGCGTCATCTTTATGTACAAC